CCCACACTCACACCCACACACCCACACTCACACCCACACACCCACACCCTCACCCACACTCCACACCCACACCCACACCCGCACTCACACCCATACCCACATCCATACTCACCTACACCCACACCCTTAACTCTCAGTGACGGCTATATGTGTTCCATTCTTGCATTCTTGGATTCCTTTGAATTCTTCAGTTTCTGCAGTACGGGTTGCTTCACTTTTCGATTCTGAATTCCTGTTGAGTTCCCGTTGGTGTCCGGAATTCCAGAATTCAGCCACGTCTCAATTTTGAGTCTGTTTCATGTCTTGTAGCTCCTATGAATCGAAACAGGTACGACACACCCGTTCAATCAATCAATAAGAATGGTCTTCGCGCCAGTGTAGGACAGACAGGCAAATACTACTGCGGTGGTTTTCTTGATGGAATATCTTGCAAGTGCTGCGATGGTCGTTGTGGTCCAAATACGGGATGTAATTGTTCTGCTTGTATGCAGCTCGACATTGCAAAACGCAAACTTCCCAAGGGTGTACTTGTGAATAGAGATGGAGCTGTAGCAACTCGCAGCCCAAATGATAGAACGACGTTCTACTGTGGCCGTCCGGTTTTAGAACAAACGAGGTACTGCGATGGGCATTGCGGACCTACGAATGGACCTCAGTGTCGAGCTTGTCAGGCACTTAACGAGCAACTAAGGCGATATAAGGCACTCCTGATTTAAGAGAGGATGCATCAGGAGATCGAACATTGACATACTCTCAAGATTTTTTACCCCCTTTTAAATTATTCGAAATGAAAGAGCGTGTTGAGAAACTTATGTCATGAGGCTTTCACGTCGATATGTTCTGCCTATCAGGAGTTATCAAGGGCACATTAGGGTGTGGGTGTGGGTGTGCGTGGGGTGTGGGTGTGAGTGTGGGATGTGGGTGTGGGTGTGAGTGTGGGGTGTGAGTGTGGCGTGGGTGTGGGTGTGTGGATGGGGTGTGGGTGTGGGCGTGGGTGTGGGGTGTCGGGTGTGAGTGTGGGGGTGTGGGTGTGAACGTCGGTGTGGGTGTGGGTGTGCGTGTGCGTGGGTGGTGTGGGCGTGGAAGTGTTCCTTCCTGTCCGGACCCACCTCGCATGCCCACACCCACACCGTCACCCACACACCCACACCGTCATCCTCACACACCCACACCGTCACTCTCACACACCCACACCGACACCCCACAGCAACATCCACCCACACCCACACCCTCAAGAATCCTGCGTTCGTAGAACTCCTGGGGCTTCTGGCCGAAGACCTTGATGAGGTCAATTATGAGGTCGTTCCCGTCGTCGAATTTTTTTGCTCGTAAATAGTCAAATAGAGAACGATTCAAGTGGTAGTCCGTAGGAGCCAAGTCAAGAGAGTATGGTGAATGTGGAATCGTAACCCATCCAAGCTTCAATAATTTTTCACGTGTTGACTTTGCAATATGAGACCTCGCATTATCATGCAAAAAATAAATTTTATCTTGCTTTCCCTGGAGTTCTGCTGCAACGCGCTCCAATTGTTGACAATAAAGATCAGCAGTAATGTTGCAACAAGTTGTAAGAAGTTTCCAATGGATAATCCACCTTACACCTCATCAAACACTCAGCATGATCTTCCTTGGGTGAAGATCGTTTTGGAACGTTGCTACACCTGCTTGCTCTGTTCCCAGTCACTAACGCTTCAGCGTGTGGTTAACATACAACACCCACTTTTCATCACTAGTAATAAGATTGTGAAGTCATCGATAGTTGCGATGCGGCGTCACTAATTCCATACAAGCATCAACCCTGAGTTGAAGCTGATGCGGTTATAACTAATGTGGTACCAAAACCCCATATTTCCGTGTCTTGCCTAATTCGCTCAGATGTATTTCGACTGTAGTATGAGAGCATCCAAGTCGCTCTACTAAACACTGTGTAGTTTGTAGGCTTTGTGTTTTCTTGAACGTGAGTTCGATTTTATTTCAATGAAGAAAAGAAAAGCACAAAAGAGAATGCCAGCACTAACCATTCTGAATACGAATAGAAGAGATACGTGTGTATATATCCCTCCCACAGAAAAAATAGTTAGAGTCTGTATTTCGTATATATTTCAGCTACAAGACCATACTTATTTAAAAGTAATTACATATTCTGAAAGCCCGTGGAGTTTTCTATCACTCTGTATAATTAGGTTTTAGTTTCGACCTATTCATTATAGAAATAGACTGAGGGTAATGAAAGCATCCTCGTGCCCAGATTCCTACAGACAGGATGTTGTATCCTCAACTAGTTTTTTAAACTTTTCGTCACCATAGAAATATCCTTCTAATAAAAATAATTATGTATTTTGATAGAGCTTGAAATTTTCTATCATCCCATATATTTAGCTATTGCCTTACATTTATTTGTTGGACAATAATTTGAGTAGAATGAACGTACTCTCCATCGACAAGTATCAAAAATCTGCATTTTTTCGTTGCTTTTTTTTAATTTTCTGTCCAATTATTATTCTTATGGGAACAAGTTTTTCTAAAAGAAATGACATATTCTGATAGTGCTTGAATTCTCTATCATCCTATGTATTAATGCAGTGTTTTGAATTTAAATAACGAAAAAAATGCAGATTTTTCGTATTTGTCGATTCACGATGTGTTCATTGTATTCATATTTTTTTAAAAATAAACCAATACAAGAAAATGGGTAAATATACAGAATGATAGAGAATTTCAAGCGCTATCAGAATATATAATTATTTTTCTTAAAAGATGGGTGTATAATGATAAAAAATCTAAGAAACTAATTTTGATGACATTGACAAAATCAAGTTTATGAGAATCTGGACATGGATGTACTTTCATTGTCCTCAATTTATTTTCATAATGAATAGGTCGAAACTAAAACCTAATTATACAGAGTGATACAAAAAACTCCGCGGACTTTCAGAATATGTAATTACTTTTAAATAAGTATACTCTTATAGTAGAAATATATTCCAAAATACAGACTCTAACTACTTTTTTTCCGGGGCAATAGATCTAATCTAGTACAACACTTCATATACAAAGATCTCTCTTAAATAAAATAATAATTTGGTATATACAATCAATAATCTTATTAGGACATAATCAAAAATTATATGATAAGATATAAAATAAAGGCTATTCAACAGTCATCCTTGAATATCAATACACCAACTTGCATCTATACATCTAATTAGTCTTGATAAAACACAAAAATTTTGATAGATTAATTAGTGTAATGTACTGTCAAAGTTTTATGCTGTCATACATTCAAATCGATACATATTCCAATAGTTATTTTCATAATCTTAAATGATCTTTTTGACTATAAATGTTGACAAATGAATATCTTAAAGTTTCTTTTACCTTTCAACAAATAACAGTATTATAAATTACTTCAAGAAATAGTATTCAATATAACTAATACTAAATGCATTATATGATCAACTTTTTGATTAAATAATTAATATTGATTAAACAATACATTTCTATTTTATGGTTTTATTATTGTTTGAACAAAATAATAAAAAACAAACATCTATATCTATATATATATTTATGTACATACAAAATTAAGACAACCAAATTTCAATTGTTCCTTCATCATTTTTCACATCAATCATTTCTTGATGAAAAATATTATTTGTACATATTTGACGACGTTTTTCAAGAATATAATCATATGAAAAAGGATTACAGCGTACTGTATCTTCATAATACTTAATTTTAAGATACGATAAATTTTTCAGCCAACTAAGAAATATTTCAATAATAGATACACAATCGTCAAATGAGCAGACTTCAAGTTCAATATGAGTAAGTAATGGAAAATGTTGAACAAGTTTTAATGTTAAATTTGAAGGAAAATAAACTCTTTTGTTTATTGATTTAATCGATTTAATTTGTTTAAATATTGGAATAAGATATGAACTATTAATAAATTCTGATGAAACCAATAATTCAGTACGAATTATAAGATGAATTATATTTGAGCATGCTCTAAATTGAAAAATAATAAATTTTATATTCTATACATATAAAGAATATTTACTGTAAAATAAATTGAGCATCTTTCCATCTAGATATATCAAATGTTGATCCAAATTCTATTTTAGATACATTTAATAACTGAACAAAATATGAAAGATAAGTAACATTTTGTTTTGCAACATTATCAAGTTTTTTATTAAACTCATCTAAAGTAAAAAGATGAAACAATATTTTATGAGATATTATACTGAAGAAATTATATAACATATTCTTCTTACCAATATTTGGTGGAGAAACCCACATCCATGGATCCATCGTTGATATTTCTACAATGAGATGTTTGATTTGTTGAAAACGAGGAGAAGTCAATGTTATACCTGGTCTTTCCTGTGTTATCAATATTGATACTTTTTCAATATCAGAATAAAAAAGATGATGATTATTTGATACTGTTGACCATGTTGTAAACGAACCAATATTAATAACAGGAATTTTCATGAATAAATTTGTTTTATGTTTTCGATAATTTAATGTACGTAACATAACAAATACTTCTACAAAAGATATATTTTTTCAAAATATTTATCTATTATCTGAATCAAACAACTCTTATACTATATAGTTTTCCTTCAACTAGAAAATATCAACTGTTGTTTGATATTTTTTTTTAACTGATTAAATCAGATAATTAATTTACCTCGTGACTGATTATTAAATATCCATCGATCAATAATTATATTCCAATTAACACATTTTTTTACAAAATATTCAAATGATGTGTCAATAGTAAATGCTTCGTTGCTATGATACATCGTGTAAGTTGTTATATCAAATTCAAATTTAGATAAATGTGGAGCATTATATTCTAACATTGTTTGCCACTTATGAGCATAAAGTAAACCACCACTAAATGGCAATGTAATTTTCTGTATCACGATGCGAAAGTAAAAATGCATCAGATTAGGCATACAACTTAAAATAGAACCAATTGAAAAAGGTTCCCAAATAGAGAGAATATCTAAACTAAAAGATTTAATACCCTAGCGAATGTACTGAGCTAAGGGTACCCATGTACTGAGAAAGTTTCAGCAAGGTACCCAATATGGGTACTTCGAAAATTCTCAGTAATTATACTGAGGTAGGTACTGCTTGGATACCCATAGCAGTACGTTTACTGAATAAGTACTTGTATGGGTACCCGCATCTGTAATTTTCCTGAGGAAAGCTCTACAGGGTACCCTAGATTTGTCGCATTCTGTGCAGCAACTGTTCATTCACCGTTTTCTTTTGCATGCACGACTTTATATAAACAACTTGACGAAACATAAGAAATTAATATTTTTTCATACTAATTTTTTCTAGATTATTTCTTGACTATCTACTAGTCGAGAACATGCCGATCTCGATCGTAAATTGAGAAAGGACTACTCTGAAGTGGTCTGATGGAGATCCGACCAACTCAAGT